ATCACAATTCACACAACATTCAGCCTTGATAATGGATGTAGAACGCATTCGAAACGCGTCAGCCAACTCATCACTAGTTTGTAATATGTGTATAAGTATTTTTTCTAATCCTAGTAAAGGATTTATTTTTTCTTATATAACATATATATATTTCCAGTTCACACAGAAATAGAGTTTATGGTGTTTTAATATCTTGTATTTTTACTCCTAGTAAATGATATGATTTATTTTTTCAGTTCATACACGAATAACAAACCTAGGTATTTGAATGTCTACCACATATTGGCTACTATGAAAGAATGTTCCCGCATTGCAAGATGCCTTCTCGTGTGACAGTCTTCTACATTTACATTGTTGTTAGTCTTGTAACTTTGTTACATAGTACATTAGTAGCTGCGGAGATTGATGTGGTAAGTTATATTATTTCTATTTTTACATACGTTTTTATGATCTGAGATGTTGGCATGGTAAAATGATATAGATTTTGAATTATATCATATAATTGATTGTTTTAGAAATTTTAGTTGATTTCAAAGTGTTGTATCTGAAATAATGTTGTTGCAACATTGTGTAGAACTCAAGAAAGTAATATAATTCCTATTATGTTGCTCAAAACCAAGGATAATCACAATGTGTAGCATAGCCAGAGCTGGGCAATAAAAGTTAATCACTATAATCGATTATGTGTGAACAGTAATTACATTGATGAGTATCATGTAAGATAGTAAATCAATTAGTATTCTAATTAAATCAATTAATGTCATGAAAGTAATCAACAAATTGAAATTAGTGTTTCTGATTATTCAAACTATCCAATATTTGAAATATTGTCATTATGATTTTTTTATTATTATTTCTGAAGCGGTCTTACTTCTCCTCATCCAAAGCTATCTCAATCCTGGACTGCCCTTTAAATTTTTTGCTAATAGTGCACCAGTCTTTCATACCCCATCAGTTTCACACCATTTCAGAACATGTGCTGATCATGTAACTACCCTCCAATAATCATACAGCACCATCTATACTAGCACAGTTAGCTTCCTCTGCTATTCTAGAACAATCCTCATTTTCTCGATTGGCATTCTAATGTGTATATGTGTGTTTAAACTCGCTCTCCATGTGACCACAAAATTTTAATTGTACTGGATTACAAAATTGTATCAGTTTTGACTTCTTGTGTTTGATTTCCATTGTTTCTACTCATTTGTTTTAGAAATATTTCCGTTTTCCGAATTATGATTTGTTCATAGGAATTCAAGATTTATTATGGTGGATGTGGAAGTTCTCGTGACAGTCAACAATGGTTCTGACTCGAGTCCCCAGGTCTCAGGGTTGATGATGTTGGCTGGGGAAATACAAGCTTTAGTTCATGAGGAGTTCATGTTTTACGTTTGGCTGATGATTTCTTCCTTTCACATTACGATTTTTTGTGAGGAAGGATATAACGACTGAGAGAACATTTCTTTCTACTGCACTTTCCACCTGTTACTGTGCCTCCGTGTAATCTCCTGGGTTAGGTATTGTTCTTTTTCCAATGAGATCTGTGTTAAGTTTTTCACTGTAAATTCCTCACTCCCAGTAGGTATACCCATGTTTATCGAGTTTATGTGAGCTTGTGTGGATTCACCTATTTCCTCAATCTATAATTTAGGTCTTTCATGACTTCTCTGCTCAGTATTTGGTAAATTAGATTTTTATAATTCATTTATCATCTAATTTACTTTAGTTTAAATTTGCATTTAGCATTTGATTATTACTTTGTTTTTGTCTAATTTTCGGTGTATGTATGGGTTTTGCATGATAGTTACTATTTGGGTAATTGTAATTTCAGACAATTTTGTGGGTGTGTTGGTTCAATATTTATACTTTCTTTCACTGTTTGTGTTAGTTTGTAAGTTCCTTTTTCTTTACTACTAGTCACATCTCATTGAAGATTAGATTTGAATCAAATTTTGTTACTGTTAACTGGGTGTCTTTTCATTCTCATGTTCTTGAGGGTAGATTTTTCATTTGTTTTCTTTGTCTTATAAGTTTGATATTTACATGTCTTTTATCTTTTAAGTTCCTTTAGTGGTTTTGTACTCTGGGTGCTGCTTATTGTGTTATGTTTTAGGTAAAATTTCATAGTTATGCACGTTCATTATTTTTATTTACATTTTAGACTACAAGTTTATAGGTTTTGTTAGTTCATTAGTAATGAGGACTTTCTATAAGCACGCTTAGTTTATGTGTCTTTTTGGCTACACTTCATGACAGTGCCATGGTTTCTATGGGTTCTGTCTGAAGGTTTCTGCCTTAAGTTCTGCCCTCCCCCCCCCTATCCACTTTCCAGAACTTCTTTCCTCCTCCTAGGGATTCTACCTCTTCCAGTTGTCTTGCCTAGTCTTTTTCAATACCTACTACACAAAGGAGCTGTGGAATAGGTGGTACCCACTCAACCCTGGGTTTTACTCCCATCTAATTGTTGTCTGTTGAAAGATATAGATTGGAGACCCGTCATAGACCTGTCTCATTTGTACTCTTATCTGGGTCCACCTCATTTCTCCATGGAATCCTACCTCTCACTTTGGGTGGTTTTTTTTTCTCGGTACTCTGGATGACCAAATCGTCGTGATGGATATCTATCTTCATACTCCAACTGCTCCAGTGTCACATCATTTTCTTTAGTTTGTCCATGAGGGTTGTTTTCCAGTTTTTGACACTGCCATTCAGTCCTTCTTCAGCTTTGTGTGTTTTGTCGAGCTGTACTTCGGACTCTCTTTTCCTGGACGACTGGCTCCTGCTTGCCTCTTCCCATACCCTGTTGGTAGATCATGCCTGCTTACTTCTTCAGGAAGCTAATTGTATAAGGTTTTCTGATCCAGTTGGAGAAATTAATTTTTAACCCCACTCAATATCTTACTCCATTAGGAGTTTTCCTTCAGCTCCCATTTTCGTCAAGCCCAGCCTTCTCTACTTCAGTTCAGGGATATAGAATGGGAAATTTCAGTGGCACTACACATTTCTTTTCTCACTGCACAAGGGTTCTCTCTCTTTTGGGGATCAGGTCTTTCTTGGCAGCTCTCATTCCCTTAAGTCAAGCTTGTGTGTTCCCTTCTATGAAACTTCTCCCACAATCCCTAGAACCATCCCATTACCCTTCCCCCTAGGATCAGGGCTGACCTTCCTTGGTGGCTTGATGGAGAACTGACCACTGTGGGTGTTCCCATTCATCCTCTGTGTCTGGAGTCTCATCTGTTTATCGATGCTTTCTTGGTGGGTTGGGGGCATTCCTTGAAACCCAAGAGATTTTCGGTTGATGGTCCATCAAGGAGGCTACTTTCCGTTTTCAACATCCTGGAACTTTTGGCAGTTGGTTGGGGCTCTGTATCATTTCATTCTGCTCCTGAGGAGGTGGGTGGTTATGGTTCATTCTGAATATTTCACTGTTGTTAGCACAAATCGAGATCTCTGTGTTTTCAGACTCTTCTTCACCTGGCCTACGACCTTGACATGTCATGTTCCTGGCATTATGAATCTTGTGACTGATCGCTTATCTTGACCCAACCAGGTTCTCCTCATGGAGTGTTTCTTTCTTCCACAGGCATTTCAGTGGGTGTGTTCAGTCAGGATTGGAGAAGTCTTCACCCATATCCCTACCCTCAGATCAGCCTCCTCTCCAGTGTCTTTTCTCTTATCCAGACCATTCCTTGTCATGTCCTGCTTCTTGCTCTGTATTGGCCGACTCAGATGTGGTTCCCTCTGCTCTGGCCCTTTCTCGAGCACCATCCCTTACCCTTACATCTGTCCCAGCCTCTTCTCTGACAGTCGTGATCTGACATAGTTCATTCCAACATTACCAGACTCCATCCTCACTCATGGTTTTGTCCAGTCCCTTGCCTCAGCTCAGGGACTCACCTCTCTTGTAGTCTCTTTCTTGTTCAATTCAACTTTCCATTTTGTCTGTATACCAAAGGCAGTGGTCAACCTTCAGACCTCGGTCTGTTTGCTGTGGCTTCCACCCCTCCTTTCCTTCAGTACCTCATTCTGACTTGTCCATGAAAGGTTGCTGTCTGCACAATGTTTCTTTGCATCCAATTTGTCACCTAACTATGACTTTAGCTACTTACCTTCACTGGCCTTTGGAGGTAATTGTTCGACGCCCATTATCTGCACAACCTGGCTGTGTCATCGTCGGGCAGGTATCATCTTCCTCCTGTGGCGATTCTACAAACATCTGTTTGCCTTTGTCTGGGGCAAGTCAACATATTACTATTTCTATATATTTTTAGTTGATACATATCATATTTCTGGATCCCAACTGGTGTTGGGTGCTGCCTCCTAAGGTATGCTTCATATTATATTTGCATTATTTATAATTAATTTGATATTTCTCACTGTTTCTGTAAGACCACTAGCAGTTTCTCTGGTGGTACATGTATCTATATTTTTTTGACTACCAGTTACTAGTTTCATTTATAAAAGACCATCACTCATGGACCTCATGAGTAAAGCAGGTGGGAATTTCTGCCCATCCCTACTGATCGTGATTCCTACAATTCATATTCCTATGTATCCAAGGCACTAGATGGTTTTTTGCCTAGGAGGACCACACTTGTTGATCACAATATATTGTACAAGGCATTTCCACTGGAAGTTTTACCCAGATTGACTGCACTTGACATACTTTGATGTAACTTAAGACACTACTCTGGGCACATATGGGCTCGTTGTTGTTCCACACTAGACTTTCCATGTTTGTCAATGCTGTGCTGTTTCAAGGCAGGGTTATACATCACTTTTCCACTGAATCAGTGCTGTACATCTCTTTCCTCAATGCATTGGTGCCTGCCAATTGAGTTCCACCCTCTTTTTGTTCCAGTGTTAAATAATGGGCAAAAATCATACCTGTTCCAGAATTAGTGCTATAGCTGTGCTAATATAGATGGTGCAGTATGCTAAATAAAAACATTTAGCATCCAGAGTTTTCATAAAAAAAAGGAGGAAGAGGTGCTTTTGTTTTAAATGACCTTTTTTTAAAGAAAGTTTGCACCCTTTTTTTTCATGATTATTGCTTGTTTTCAAAAGGTCCATGTCAAACAGAAGTTATCTTTGTTTAATTTTTTTAAGAAAAAAGGAAAAATGAATCAATTGTGTTCACCTCATATTTTTTGAGAAGTCTTCTTTGTTCCATTGTATGATTGAAAAATTATAATTCAAAAAAGAAAAAAATTTGCCCCAAAAAAGTGGTTGGAAGTGGCTACAAAAAAGGAAGCGGGAAGGAACGCTAGACATGTATTTTTTTTTACTTAGCCTAATAAATTAGTTTGAATAAGCGTTTTCAGTTATTACTATTTATCAATTATTACATTTATCCAAGTAATTGAAATTGCAATTAGATTTGTTTGTTGTTAAGCACAAAGCTACACAGTGGGCTATCTGAGCTCTGTCCACTGCAGGTATTAAAATTTGAGTTTTAGCATTATTTATTTAAGAGTTATTTCTGGTTTTTTACCCGTTTTGTGAGAATAGTGGATTGTTTATGTTTTTGTCATTTTGTGAGAATAATCAGTTAGTTGAACATACTTGATTAATGAGCCCAGCAATTAATCAGTTAACAAATTTCATTAATCACCCAGCTCTTAATTATAGCTATGACGTGACAAAAACTGTTATCATTAAGGTATGGTTGTACTTATTAGTAGGAATTGTGATGTAACAAAATGACGACCATAAAACTTGTCCTTTTAAAACCACCTTTAAAATGTCTGAATATTAACAATGACTGTTTCACAGTATTGGCTGAACAAAAATAAAGATTTATAAAGCTGCCCAAATTGCTATATAGTAAGTAAGTGACTTCCAGACAAGCGTACAGAACTCTTCTGTTTGTGGTCCTAATCACTCGTTTCTTGTACTGGAAAGGATACTAGTAACTTTGTATATATATAAAACAGATCATATGCTGCTTTGGGCCTATAATTAGATTTGAGGGTAGGTTGGTAGAGATCCCGATGAGTAATAAAATCAAATCAGGTATGCATGTGTCCCACATTTGGTATTTATGGTGTACAAAAATATACCTAATAAAAAAGAAACAAGTATAATACATTTTAATAGAGACAAGTAGGGATCAATATATACATAACCTAGCTAGCTATAGTAACATAGAAAGTTATTATGCTACAAAAATATTGAAACAAGAAAGTTAAAACTACAAAAACTGATTTACTTAGAATTTAAAACATTTTATCCCTACTTTAACTCAGACTAACATATTTACAGTGATTTGCCAAAGAAGGGATTTTAAATTTTAAGTAACTCGATTTTTGTAGTTTTGACTTCCTTGTTTCAATACTTTTTGTAGCATTAAAACTTTCTATATTACTACAGCTAGCTAGGTTACGTATATATTTATTCCTACTTATCTATGTACAAATTTCAAATTTGTTTATTTTACATGTTATAAAATGATGTTGGGCATCTTGTGACAAGTCATGTGAACTAACAGATATGGGATTGCTCATTTAGCTTACAGTTGTATGTATTTATAGTTTTTAAAATACCACTTCAATATGATGTATAGTTACCAAACATAGCAGCCTGACATGAATGTTGTGTGTTTAAAATCAGTGTCAACAATGTCTTGAGTTATCTTTAACCACTTCTCTGAAAGAAGTGTTTTTTGGTATCTAGTACCTATACTTGAAGGTTTGCAGTGCTTCCCCCAAGACCAGTTTGTACATGCTGGCTGGGATTGAAGTCTGGTAAGCATTAAGGCTACTCCATTTGGTCAATCTTTTCAGCATGGAGAGTGTCAATTAGTTTAGCATAGTAGGGGGGGGGGGAGTTTTATTATCCACTAAACTGAAGTTGAGGCTAGCTGCTCCAGCATGTTTTAGCTCAAAGGCTTATAGGATGTGGTATCTGTAATTCCTGTAGTAATTATATCATTCCATAAGATGTAGAAAGTCTGTCAGTGCTCCTTCCTATACTAGCATAACTATACATACCATGTCTCTGTATAAAAATGGGATATATCTGGTTCCAGATTCTCTCCAAGTTACTTTAAACCTGGAATATGATA